GAATTACATTCCTCAAAACATAAAGTCTTTTCAAAACCACAGCCCTTTAAGAAGAATCTTGCCTGCCATCTGCTGGACACTTTTTGTTGAGCTCATTTTTAGACGTCCTGTTTTGCAAATGCTGCCTTTTTGAAATTTGGTATGCTTGTTTGTCTTTGTGTCTATGGTGTATAATGTGATTGTGATGCTGTAATTCTGAGTGTTTTATGCGCTGCAGAACTGGAACCTGCTGTAAAACAGCAATTATGCTGAGTCAGGCTTGATTTTTTAATAACCTTTTCCTGTTAAATAAATCAAATCAAATCAGTTCACTTCCTCAACTGCCATTTGCTAAAATAACTAGCAGACACTGCGCAGAACGTTGTTCAAAACTCCGCCTTCTGTTCTCTGATTGGCCCAGGTGAAATAAACTACAAGCAGACACTGCGCAGAAAATCGACGTTCTGTTCCCTGATTGGCCCGACTAAAAATCTGTCAGCGAAATCCTTGTCTATGGGAGAAGTCCCAGACGGAGCAGCGAAGGGAAACTAGAATTGAGCGGAGCTGCGTAGGAAGGAAAGGGCCAGGCTAGGGATTKGTAGGACCTAATAAGTATAACTAAACCCTGTCATGGTACAGGAAGTGGATTATGCAAAAAAAGTCCTCATATGAGGACACAAGGTCTCAAAATGTCATGCTTGTTGACGAATACCTACGACACAAATTCAGTGACTTTACGTCATTATAAAGACTCAATATATTTGCTTTAAACCGATATGTGTTGAACTTTCTTTCAGGATCATAGATGAGATATTTTGTAAATATCTTTAAGGTATAAGTCTGTTTTTTGAAATTAATCAATTTTCACATCTCCAATGGTGATTTCACAGCAACCCCAATAAAGCAAAACAGCATATTTCAGAGTGGCCTATTGTGGCCAGCCTAAGGCACACCTGTGCAATATTGTCTAATCAGAATCTTGATATGCCACACTGGCAAGATGAGATGGGTTATCTCTGCAAAGGAGAAGTGCCCCCAACACAGATTTACGCAAATTTTTGAACAATTTTTGAAGGAAGGTTTATTGTTGTGTACATAAAAAACTTACATCTTGAAGTTCAGCTCATGAAAAATGGTACCAAACACAAAAGTGTTTAAAATTTTGTTCAGCGTAGGTTGTAAAAACAGAAAAAATTGTTTTCTTTTAGCCATTTTGTTTCGAAACGGAAAACCCAAAGTATACGGATTCTTAAGTTTTCATCTTAAAGCTGTAATTTTCCAATTTGCAAATACTGTCCTGTGAATTTCTGAAAATCTTTGACGAAGAGCTGGGTTGTGCATTGATTAAACAGATCTGTCAGTTTCTCCCTGACAGATTCCGCATACCTATCCTGTACAATCTCCCTCCAGCACTGTTGAAATCTGACTCTCAGTTCATCCCGGTGGGCTTCACATACTTCTGAGCTAAAAGCGTGGCCGAGCAAAAACCTCTCTCCTTTCTCCGCATGCGCCTCGAAGCTGTCCTGTTTCTCTGAGAGCAGGCCTTCCGCAGCTTTGAGCATCGAGTTCAACTCCTTCGTCAGGAGTTTCTTCTCCTCTTCCTGTTTGCATTCAAGCACGGCGTACAGGCTTTTGAAAAAAGTCCTGCGGTCCTGCTTCTGCWCAGCTGTTATCATAGGAAAGTTTTCCTTTTCAGATCTCAGCATGCCCTTAGCAACCCAAAACAGAGTTTCGCATAAAAGATTAAGATCAGGGATCTTATCGGCTCTTTTAATATAATTCTCATAATCTGAACTCTGAGTGATACATTCCGTTTGCCTGTAGCTGAGTTCCTTGAACAGGTTTTCTTTGTTTCCCTTGAAGCCCCAACTTCTCACGTAGCCGATATGAGTTTTCACTCCAAACACGCTCCACCACTCCCAGGCCTTATGGATCAGCTTCAGCATGCACGGCTCGGTGTTTCTCGCCAAACATGGGCTGTTCACGGTGAAAATGTACACCTTCCAGTCCTTGGGAAAGTCTGAGCTCAGAAGCTCCTGGGTTTGTCTGATGACGATGTCCTCACTGTGCTCTCCGATGCTGTAGTTGGGGTAGTAAGGCCCGTACATGATGAGCTCCTCTCGTTTCTCGATCACCGCCCACGAGTGCTGTTTGTCTTCTGCGCCACATTCCTCGGTGATGTCTCTGCGAAAGGCTGAGAATTTACTGCTCACCGAGTCGCTGAACAAGACGTCGCCGATGGCTCTTCTGGACCGGAGATGCTCYAAGACTCTCTTTGAGGAGTTTTGTGTGTCAGACCAGAGCAAGGTTTGCTCAAAGAGCCTCGTGGTTTCAGTCAGGTATGTGGTCCTCCTGTTCACACAGGTATGAGGTATACAGCTGGAATCATAGCTTGTCCTGAAACAAAAAAAAAGGCGAAACAAAAAATGTTTTCACAAACTGTATAAGATGTGATTAACCGTCTGTGTTTTCTTTGTATGAGCCGTGCAGAAACTGATGAGTTTAAAGGGATCCATGATTAGTTGTAACATTAGACTTAATTTAATAAACATTTATTTTAACTGTAAAATAAAGACTGTAAAATACTGTAGGCTGTTCAGTTTTTATCATTTTTAACCTAAAAGTTTTAAAATATATTACACGGATGGGGCCATTTTATTTACACACAAAGCATTCTGGGTAAATGATGACGTGAATAGGTCCTCAGTGAGAGTGAGCTATATCCACCCTGAAGATTAATCTTGGACAACATCTGACGATTGGCTCTTTTAAATGAAACCAGAGAGCGTTGACAGAGAGGAGAAGGTAGAAATGACTCAGTCTGTAATTGAAAATATAGATGGAGGACAACAGAGCTGCTTCATGGAAGAAGAACCTCAGCTTAGCTTGTTTTCTTTAGCATTAGCCCTGACGCTATCACCATATATGGATTAGCTCAGCGCTACACAATCTCCTCTCGTCACTGAGGTCATCCATCCACATGACAGAGAGGGGAACGCAAAAATGACTCAGCTGCAACTGAAAATATGGATGGAGGACCTCAGTTTAGCTTGTTTGTCATGCTAGMACTGAGCTAATGCATATATGGCATTATGCCCCTGCGGATTTGAACGCACCACAAATAGGGCCCTGAAAGCCATCTACTGCCAAACGCCTCTTCCAGCCATTTTGAAAAAGCTGAAAGGAACCACTCATGATCAGCCTTTAATTGAGCAACTGAGGTCCTCCCTTCTGGTAGCTCGTCCTCTACCACTACACCTGACCAACTCAAGGGTGAATCGCTGCTGTTTGTCCTTTAACCGCACTGAGGAGAAGAAAAATAAATAAATTACTTGGCTAACATGCAATACACCAGAACAACAAATCACAGTACAACCTATAAAAGGATAAAAAGGTTTCAGCCTCAAAACTGCAGTAATCCTACCCACAACGCCAAAATGTGGCAACACAGATGTTAGGGGAAAGATACAGTTAGGGTTTTGACAACTACTATTTTAATACGTAGGTTCGGATCCTACCAACAACGCCAAAATGTGGCAACACAGATGTTGGGGAAAGATACAGTTAGGGTTTTTACAACTACTATTTTAATAGAGAAATAATTTATTTCAAGAACCCTACTTTCAAATTTCCCTTAAAGGCCCATGGACCTACCACAGATGAGGCAAGAGACAAATCAATACAAAGTACAAATGGTTTTTACTTCCTAATCTAATTGCTAAAAACACACACAACACAGGGCCCACTCTGGCACGACAGTGCTAGACAGAGCAGTGGTCCAAGCAAATTAAAACACAACATGGTTGACCTGTTTGATAACCTAGAGGGCAAGGCTGGAGATTAATTTAAGTATTGTTCCAGCATGAAAAAGACCCTGCTGAGATATTTGTTGTTGTACAGACATTTTCTGGTTTCTCAGTCAGATGTTGTTCTTAAGGAGGCCTTCCCTCATGGGACCAGAGGGAGAGGGACTCTTCAGGAGTTCTCCCTCATGTTAAGGGGCTTTAATTGGCCCCTGGGTGATGAAGCCATGGGTGGAGTTAAAGTCATTGAGGGATTGGATACTGGTTTTAACGCTTTAGCAAGCATTTAGTCTTGTGGTGTGGAGTGCCTCGTCATTGGGTGAGCTTAACGCTTCCAATGGCCGTAGAGGAAGAAAAAAAAGAAAAGGGGGGTTGGCTATTGGTACTGGCTTTGATTTATCCATCGTCTGGTCGACAATGCAAGAAGGTGGGGTGGAATGTGGCAGTATGCCCGTGCGGCTTTGAACGCACCACACAAATGCCTGTTTCTGATTGGCTGGTGAGCTCGCTGTTGATGTATAAATGTTTGTCTTATCAGTCTCTAAATTACACAAATTTGTGTAATTGAGAGACTGATAAGACAAACAATACACTCACCACTGAGCCTAAAGTGTAGCTCCTATAAAGGAGGAGGAATCAGGTRGACTCATTCTGGCAGCCTATTGAAACAGAAGCTAAGTTAAAGCTAGGCTACAAACAAAAACACCCAGGAAGTAGAAGCACTCCTTACCATGATAAAAGGATCAAGGGTCGTTTAACGCACGCTTCATGCACCCACAACCACGGTAGTCTGAACCGAGAGGCAAACATGCCACAGAGGTAGAGGGAGAAAGCCCCCACCTTTATACATCAACAGCGAGCTCACCAGCCAATCAGAAACAGGCACTTGTGTGGTGCGTTCAAAGCCGCACGGGCGTACTGCCACACATAAGGCAATATAGCGTCGACGCTAGTGCAAAGGCTAACAGGCTACGCTAAGGTTCTTCTTCCATGAAGCAGCTCTGTTGTTCTCCATCCACATTTTCAGTTGTAGACTGGATCGTTTCTGCCTTCTCTCTGTCAACGCTCTCTGGTTTCATTCAAAAGAGTCGATCGTCAGATATTGTCCAAGATTAACCTTCAGGGTGGATATAGCTCGCTCACAGCGAGGACCTATCCACGTCATCATTTACCCAGAATGCTTTGCGTGTAAATAAAATGGCTCTGTCCATGTTGAAATATATTTTTAAAAATTTACAAAACTAAACAACCTACAGTATTTTTACAGTCTTTATTTTACAGTTAAAATATATGTTTATCAAATAAAGTCTAATGTTACAACTAATCAGGGATCCCTTAAGAAAAAACAATTATAAGTTTTAGTTTGTTGTTTTTCTGTGACAGGTTTGTCCAAAAGTAGAAGAATTTAGAACTTTTGAAGTGGGGCTCTGTGGACATGGTTACAAGCAATAAATGTCTTACCTGTTGCAGATAGCTCCTTGAACATCCTCAGTTTGGAGAAATAGTTTTGACCTCATTTATGAGCTATTAGCTAATCAGGGTGCAGCCACAACTAAAACAGATTCACAGCATGTAAAATGAGTTCAGCCTCAAGAGTCGGATGTGAACGTTATTTTTTTTTTTTACTTTACCATGCAAACCGCTCTGAATTACATGACTGTTCCTACAGAAATGTTATAAAATTCTTGCTAGAATTGTTTCAGTCTGTATTTTAAATGCTACAACTAGCTGCTGCAGCTGTTTGTGCAAACAACTGTGGAATTTTATATAAATAATTATATAATGTAAAATCGACAGAAGTGTAAAAGTTTGTAAAACAATGTTTGCTGTGAAATTATTTTAAGAATAGAGTGATTTTCTGACAGCTGTAATCCACAATGGTCTTGGCAGCGCTCAGGCTAACTGTTAGCTTGTCTCTCTGATCAGAATTAAACGATTTCTCCAAACTAGAGTTGTTCAAAAAGCTATCTGCAACAGGTAAGATTATAACTGCTCCTGATCTTTTCACAAAACCTGACTTAGAATGGTTTGAAATAACCTTTTAACAGACAGATTTCTCAATTCTTATTATTATCTTACTCATCAGACCCTCCGGTGACCCATTTTGGACTCTGCACAGGTACATTCCAGACAAAACCACTCCTATTACAAAAAAAAAAGGTTTGTTAACGTTAGATTGTCACTCAGAACAGTTAGTAATAATAATTCTCAGGTGCTCCAAAGATGAAAGATATTTCTGAACCACGTCAGCGAACGTGCCTCAGGGTTGTTTTTGAAGGGATAGCTATAATGACTGAGCCAGTCACCTGAACGCTGGTTCCTTTTCACTCGCACAATGACTCACAAACTAACGAAGCTAAAAAAAAATAAACCTGGCAAATTCTCACAAAAGAATAAACCATATCTTTGACCATGTCCACCTGTTTTATATAGTAAGCATTTGTTGCCTGTAAAGAATCCTCAAACAAACCACACATTATATTTTTATTTACTACGTTTTGTTTTCCTAATTTGTCTGCAATTACACACGAGCCTCTGCTAATTGAGGGATTTAACCAATAGGCTTGAATGACTTATTCATCTCTGTGCGCCCAATGATGGAAGCTAAAACCCTCAACACTCAATGTGTATTACAGTAACACAGTTTTATTAATACAGCAACAATTAATGTGGTCTGCAAAACAGTTTCTGTGAAAGTTTGGAAACAAAAGTAAAAACATCGATCAAAAAAACAAAGCCAGTTTAAATTAGTTTTTATTACTGCAGCACACTGCTGAGAGGCAGGCAATAAAAATAAAAGTTTTATTAGGTTTCAATCTTTGCCTAAAACTCTACCATTAACTGCTTTAAACCTGTTTGCCTGTTAGCAAAATATCTCATAAACCAGTGATGGATTTTGATGAAATGCTCAGAAGTGATTATTAGTTGTTCRGATTACCTTTTGAAGTGGAACAATTTGAAGATGGCAGTCACAGCTAATAATGTGTGAAAACTAAAGCGTTTATGATTTTATGTGGACGTCGCTGAAAATGACTCCGGATCAGTCCGTTTGCAACAGAGCAGACAAACCATTCAATTGGCAATGTATAAAACTCTTATTTATGATGTTTAAAGGATAGTTAAAGGGCACTTGGACACCCACTACTATAGATATAAATCTGCAGCATGCGAGCACGTTGTTGTCCTACGTGTTTCAAAAATGTCCTTTTGGAGAGAGCATGGGGTGCTGGTCTTTGTCTTGACTTGGTCTCGAGTTAGCTGGTCTTGACTACAACACTAGTGTTAGCTGTTAAAAGTTGACATTGTGACTTTTATGCCAAAAGAAGAGTGAAAAATGAACAAAAAATCATCTTCCTGCACTATGTGCTTTAAGTGTAAACTGTAAAGATTGACTTACGTCAGCCCGGCAGGCTGTATAGTTCTGTCCGACCAGTATGTTAAACATGTCTTCTTACAGAGATGCTGCTCTTTACATACACTAAACAGAGGACGCTTTCGACCCAACCTGGAATAAAACAGTAAATCAGGGATTAGATTATCAGACATTTAGAAGCTTTACTTTCAAAGCAGGTTTTTATCCAAGCAACAAAGCCCTTCAGGCTATGACATCACTGTATTATACAATGAAAGTGAAGTAGTGGGCTAAAATACACAAATACAAAGCTGATCACTTATTATTTTAAAGTAAAAACCACATTCACTCACATAGAAAAAGCCATCCAGTCTTGTCAGCACAGGTGTCTGAGGAGCTGCTGAAAGCCTTCGTCTTGTTTCTTTCTGGCTGAACACTGTCATATCTGACCGACTTCGCTTCACGTCTGACAACCTAAACAGCGGTTAAGCTTGTACTGTAACTAACAACCACCTGGAGGTTTGCTGCCTGCCAGCTCTAGGCTCCACCTACACAAAAAAATAAAAAATTCAAAGCGCTATAGATACCAAACCGGAACACTGTTGATGTATTCCTGCTTTGAGCCAAGTTTYACTGTTTGTTGTCATTAACGTTCACATCAACAGCACCACCTTTTTTCTGTCTGATAGGTTTCCAAAAGCAYGCAGCCTTTTCCCCMAAAAAGGCAACMGTTCAGCTCCGTAAAGGATAGATTTGAAATGACGGTTTTAAGGTCAAACAAATGTAAAGCTTCAGTTTAGATTAGTGTCAGGATGAGTCATGGAGGTTCATAATGAAAGCGCAGTTCACATGTAAGCCCTCAAGGAAAACACCATCACATCAGGACTGTGCATGTTGATCTGCTTTCTCATTAAGAATCATGCGATTAAAAACAAAATGCCTGAATGGTCCCCGGTGGCAGTTTTACACAGGGGTCATATAGAGATCTTAAAGCTTCAGATAGATGCAGTGCTAAAACCAAAAACAGTTTCCATCATATCTGTCAGACTGAATGTGAAAACTTAAAGATTACTGACGTGTGTCTAAAACTGCCGTCAGGAGGAAAGGAAACGGAAAGCTTCCAGGCACCACAGGTCCCCGTAAAACAGTTTAACCTCCATTAGCGTTAAATAATTGGTCTCCTTAGAGATTTTTATGTGGTCTGCATGAAATGAGCGAAACAAGAACAGACACAGTCGGACAGAGACGGCGGACTTCTTCTGTGTAAACAGAGATATGCTGAGGAACACGTTAGACAAGATCTGGGCGGTGATTGTGTCAGTCTTCGTAAAATGTTAATTTTGCTCGTTAAAGTTGTGACAAAATGTACAGAGGGTTCTTATTCTTTTGACTTTGCTACAATATAAAAAAAGACAGCAGTTAGCGGCTAACATCCAACTGGCATTTGAATTAGCTCGGCAGATGTCAAAAGGTTCCTTTCTGCTGGGTGAGTTACAGCTGGAGGCAGAAACTTGATCATCACATCCATGAATTTTCACTGTCGGGAGGCCATGTGAGAACCATAAGTCAAGCTAGCTGTGTAGTAAACTTCAGTGAACAGTGAGGGTGTTCATCCAGTATGGCAGGACATTTTAACATAAAATCATCTGTGTCTGACTATCTTTAATTACATTCTAGATATACAGTATATCTAGAATGTAATAACTATATAGTCAAAATTACGGTTTTAGACAGATGAATTTAAAAATTGCGCATAAGCCCCTCTGCTTAGCTGTCCTGCAATTTTTCTGCTGCAATGACGGGCAATAAATGATCCATGCTTCTCAATTCATGTTGAGCTGCAGCCCTAAATTTGTGTTAAAAACACCAGAATTTGAGTTGGATTGACCTGACATTACAACCACTGAATGGCAAATTAAGGTAAGACTGGTGGCTTAGTTAGGCTAACATGACTTAGAAACTTTCTGCCAAAATGCAACTTAATCTTTAATGTTTTGACTGGATAGAATAATTATTCAAGATATCCTGAATATCGTTCTGACTAGTTAGTTTTGCCTATAGTCATTATTTGCTTTCAAGATACATGAAATTTAATTAGCATTACTTGAATCTTAAATATCTGAAATCTCCTAATAGCTACATTAGAACTGGAGTAGTCAGAACAAAAAGTGAGATATCTTGGAAATAAATAATGACTAGTCAAAATTCATTTTAAGATATCTTGAATTGGAGCCTCTGTACAACTTATTAGTCAGAATGTAATAAGAGATATCTCAAATGGTATTTTGATTTGTCAAAATGAGATATTTAATCAACCAATACTGTAATTTGTAAATCAATTTCAGACAATTGAAATGTAAGTGTGGTGAAGCCAATTTATGCTAAAATGGTCTGCCATACTCCTTGTGGTCTCATGATGTAGTTTAGTTCTTTTTGAGTTGCTAAATTTATACTTTATTGAAACAATTTATTCATTCTGACCAGATTTATGAGCTAATGGTTAGCTCAAGTGGGGCCAAGGTCAAAGTGAATTGCCTTACGTTATAAACCTTTACATTACTGTCAGTTTTTCAATTTGTAGTTTTTTACATTTACGATTGTGTGTGAGCTCAAAAAGCATCATCAGCAGTTAGCTATAGCACTTCAACTGCAGCACTGGGTGCTTCTTCCTGGAAAAAGGCTAAATTAAACTCTCTTTCTCCAAAACGAGGTTGTTTAAAGATCTATCTACAACAGGTAAGATAATTATTGTTCACAACCTTTCTGCGAAACACCACTTTCTAAAATCCAAACTACTCCTTTAATTCCTGTTTACGAATGTTCATGTATCAAAACAGGACATCTTTAAAAATGTTTAAAGTGCCATAATTGTACATTTTTATGTTTATGTAAAAAGTCAAGCAGTGCAGAGGATGAAGGCTCATCCCTGGAGCCACTCACTGATCTGGAACTACTGCAAAAACCTGCTTTTTTTCTTGATTAATATACATGAAGCATCTCTGTCTTCACTTGCTTTTCAAAATTGAAGTCAAATGTGTCCTTTAAAAAAAATTCAGCTGCTGACGAATTTTTGGAGCCAGCATCTGCGGAACAAGGAGCTTTGGCTTTAATAATAGTAAAACCTGAATTCCCACCCACCTCGCTGACACGACGTGAAGCTGTCAATCACAATGTGACATGACAAACTGAAGTTGCTAAAAAAAAAACTGCTGAGAGAAAGAAAACCTACAAGGTCAGTGACGACGTGTGCGTTTTATCAAAAGGCTCATAATCCTTTAATGGTTTCAGGTGTGATTTAGGGTTTTGCCACATGCTGAGCAGCAGAAAAAAACACCTGTAAAGACTCATGTTATCGTTTACGCTGCCTGATTGAAGCACCCATCAGGACTACGTCTGGACTTGCCTTGACTGACATTAAGCACCTTGGCAGATTTCACTTGGAATCGTGGAGGAAGGATTGTGGAGGTGTGGTAGTGGTTCGTTAATAACCCTGTTGATGATAAAGACATTTATGACCTAAGAAATGAACATTTTAGCATCAGCTTGAGCAGAATCACGTCGTAAAAACACCTGTGTGAAGTGTGGGGGGTTTAAGTGCTTAGTAAAACATGCAGGCCACCAGAGTTGCAGCGTTTTGTTGGAAAGCATCCATCTGCAATTATTATTATTTKTTCCATATTATGTAAGATCTGCAGAGACAGCTTTTCTTCCTCAGGGGGAGTTTTAATGTGGGACTACATCATTTTAAAGGCTGCTTTCAACTGGAACATACAGCGGGTAAAATAAGGATTGAACACGTCACCATTTTTCTCAGTAAATATATTACTAGAGGTGCTAATG